AGACTTATCACTTTTTAATTATGTCAGACTACCCGAATTTGCCCCCCATCTCTCGTAGTCCAGGTCAACCTCCACCTTGACATAGTCGAGCATTGAATCTAGCAATTCCCATCGAAGCCTCGAGGGTGCATCGGCGATGTTACTTGGGGATGGCACCCTGGTGTACCAGTTTAGGCTGTTGTTGCTAGCGTCCTGCAGCATTGCCTCGATCAACATCTTTCTACAAGCCTCAGACTTGGTTACTCCAGCCACTAATGCCTCCTTGACACCCTCGTTGTCAATGAAGTACAACACTCTCGCACCTCTGAGGAGTTGAGGGAAATGCCTCTTGATAATCACTATGGGCAACATTTCGGCTTGAGCAATCACATGCTCGTGACCAAACCCTTGCCATTCATCAACGATCTTTGGGGGAATGTTGAACCCGAAGGCCAGTGGTAATTCTGTTCGCGGAGACAGGACCACTGCCCCGCAAGAGGCAGTGCCCCCTTCATATGCACCATCCGTGAAGATCAGGCACGGCATCTCATTGTTCACCGCCTCCAGTCGTCTCGGGGGAGCAGTCCTCAACAGATCGGCCGACAACCTGAGTGCTTTGCGAATCTCACTTGTCACCCCTTTAACACTTCTACTCATCAGTGCCCTCTGCTTCACGGGGCCCATGAGGGGTGCCAACCATCTCCCACTGCACTGTGCCTCAGCAAAGTTCAACCTGCCGTACACCTTAGCTGCCGTGGCGGCCGGGAAGGACTGGACTGCCTCCATCTCTTCTATTGTGGCTTCCAGTTCTTGCACTCTATCCTCTTTGTTACGTACTATCACCACTCCGTCATTGGACTGACTCAAGTCTACCACCACACCCAAGACTACAAACCTCCTAGCCGGTGGGATCCTCTTCTTGGCTTCCTCTGCAATGCCCCAGCCCAAAGTGCGCATGGCCTCTTCCATGACCACCTGAGTCCTCACTACCATCTGCCCTAGGTCAACATGCGGGAAGTCGTCGAAGTAGTTGATCACTGGGATCAAAAAGAACCTCTGTAGCACCTCTCTCAGTGCCCTGGCCGCCCGATTGAAAGCCATCACGGACCCCGTCGCTCCAAACGGGAGAACATAGGAAATAAAGTACTTCACTTCATTGCTCTGGGGGTCTAGGACTGCGATGACCGCACAATTCCGGTCGGTCGGGGACAGGGGCAGTTGCTTGTATGCAGCCTTGAGGTCAAGGCACCTACCACTCAGTTGCAACTCCTTGCCTCTGAACTCCTCCCCTTTCCGCCCCTCCAGCACCAGTCCCGTGGACAACTCGGCCCTGACTTGGTCACTCACACCCCCAAAGGTCCTCATCCATGCAGCCGCCAACGAGACTACCTCGTCGACCCCACCAAGGTCCAACTTCTCACCTGGGCCATAGCACTGATTGACCGCGAATTCGCTGAGGTCGTCTATGTTCCTCACCTTTGCTCCCTGAACTATGCCGAACCTTCTACTCGGCGTCCACAATGGCCCAACTTCTTCGGTCACTTGGCCTGCAGTGAAGGGTCCTGACAACCATCCCCTCTCCGCCTCCTTCAGGGTCGCCTCCCACACCTCATGCGCAACACTGACATGGCTCCCAGCAACACTCGCCTGTCTGCCCTGCATATGTCTCGGGACTCTGGTGGACACCTCTTGCTGGGCCGACTTTGCTGCTCGCCACAGGTCTTCCCTGTCGAGCATTGGTGGCTTGCATTCAGGTGCAAAACAGCCTGTGACTCTGCCTTCACCTGTGATCCTCATGCCGTGACACATGTCCTCTACCAGGTGGGTATCCCCATAACCGACTGTCTGGATGAGCTCGGCTAGCACAAGGAGTTTCTTGGGTGCCAAAACTTCGGCAACTTTAGTCTCCATGTTGGCGTGTAGCTCATGCTCTTGTGTTTCAAGTTCTTGCACTCTCTGCTTCAACCACCTCAACCTACGAACTCTCTCTTCATGTATTTCTTGGGTGCCTTTGGTCAACACTTGAAACATGCTGTCGACGACGTGGTCTGGCGTCTGAAATGCTGTGTCAAACGGGTGTTGCAACTGCTGGGCTCTCCGGACTGCCTCCATCGGTGTCATGGGAATGCCGAAAATTACTGACCTGCTTGCCCCGTCCCCGTGGTCTTCCCCCTCATTGGACGGTAAATGGCGAACAAGTCTGGTGCCTTCTGGGAAAACTAGGTCGGCGAGGGCGACCGTGGTTTTGGATCGGCCACTCCAGGCCAAAACTTTGGCTACATCACGGGGTTTGTCCACGATGATGTCCACCACTTGTCCATCCTCCGGCAACATTGGCTGGGCACGTCGCCCCTTAGGCTGCTTGCCGGCTGCCACCCTCCAGGTGGTGGATGCCTGGTGGGCAAGCGGGGTGGACCGAGGCTCAGGGTGGACTGGGAGTTGTCGTTCACATGCCCTCCTACTGATGATGGCTGCAATGCGTTGGCATAACAACAACGGGTATTCTGCTTCACTAGCTGTGTCGTACTGCCACTTTCCATTAAGTGTCTTGCTGACGGACCACCCTTTGTGCGTGTGACGTTTGTCGCACATCACGCCCAACTGACACAGTTGCTCGCAATTGTGGAGGAGTGAGGTCTTCTTGTCTCTCTCCCCTCCGTGCATGCACACTTGGAATGCGGTAAAGTGCACACCTGCAAGCTGGAACAACTCCGCAATGCATGGGACCATCCACATGTAACTATTGGTTGGGTTCTCGATGAACACGTAAACTCCCTTAGAGTGACCATACTTGAAGACTCGCGCGGCTGTGGCATAGCATGCGTTTGCCAACTCCACCCTGGTCAGGTCCGTTCCGTGTAGGTCAGGAAGCCCACTGGGGTACTGCGCGCTCCTCAGTGGTGGTGGCGATGGCACTCCTTGCCGTCGGAGCCAGGCGGGTATTGGTTTGTCTCTCGCACGTGACGCCGTACCACACGGCGGTGCCATAGGTATGAAGAATACATCTCCTTCATTCACCTTAGCCTCAATAAAGTCTGCACTAGTGCTACGTGACAAGTCTAAAACTATACAAGGTCCAACTCTGTTCTTGCATTTCTTATGGTCTACGCCTACGGCTGCAAAACCATGAGCTTTCAAACACTTACTTAACTTGCACGACCCGGCAAACAACTCAAACGTGCGGGGCACAACGCCCGTTGCGTTTTCACTCAGCCTGCCGGGATTGCTCCCGGGTTCTTGAAAAGTTTCTGTACATGGGGCGGAGCCCTCTTCAGCTCTCCTGATGGGCTCTGATTCCTGTGCTCGCGCCGGCGCGTCGCACGCCACTGCCGGCCTCTCACCTGCTTTTGCAGGTCACTGGGTGCACTGCATGGCGCCATGGCCTTGCTTCCAACACTTCATGCAGGTGTGCAATCCCTTCGAGCACTTTCCGTCTTTGCCGCTGTTGCAGTTGCCCAGCTGGTAGCCATAGCAGATGCGCTCTCCTTGCTTCATCGGGGACAACCCCCAAAGCTCTTTCGGCATCTTGATGGGCATTTTCTTTGGTGCCACTGCCTTGCTCGGCCCTGCATCGGCTGGCGCTGCCTTCGTCTTCTTGGTCTCCGCCTCGCGCAGCCTCTCTTTCAACTTGAGGTTCTCCTTCATCAGCTTCCTCTTTCCTGCCCCCGGCGCTGATGGCTCTGCCGCATGCGGGGCCTCGTCCTTCCCTGTGCTGCTCTTACTGCCCGGCAATGGCAGCAACAAGGTCATGAACGCCGGGTTTGCTATCACCCGGTCGATGGCGGCATCTGCCAAGCGCCTTCCTGTGGCATCTCTGCCGAGGTCTCCTTGGAGCTCTTCTGACATCAGCTTCCATGCCCTACGATCTGCTGCTGCCACCTGCGCCAGCGTCACCGCCATGTACCCCATCGGTGCCTCCCGCTGATACTCCTGGAACATCTTGTCGATCAGGCGCTCATGGGCAGTGAATCTCATGACATCAGCAACCTCCAATGCCAGGCCCCGCCTCGTGTAGGCTTGCCTCAGCCTCAGGTCTGCGCGGGTGTCCGCCTCTGGCAACTTGGTCTCATCATGGGCCCTCAAGTGCCCGGATGCATCCTTCTTGATCAATTCCTCGGTCTTCACGTTCTGCAACTCCTGATCTCTTGTGGGGATCTCGTGTGGAGCCAGGTACTTCAGCTCACCTTCAACTCGCATCGAGTGGAACTTGTCGACGACATGATGCGCTGGCTCCAGCTGGTCTGACAGTTGAAGGTGCCCATACATCGCCTTCAGTTGAGCCCAACG